GGCTGCTCTCCCAGAGGTCCTGAGTTCAATTCCCAGCAACCATATGGTGGCTCACAACCATCTGTAATAAGATCTGGTGCCCTCTTCTGGCCTGCAGGCAGAATACTATATACATAATAATAAATAAAATCTTTAAAAAAAAAAGTTGTGGCTGTGTAGTATCCTCCTCTAACTTCAGACTCACCTCTTCCACAATGGAGGACAATAACCGAAGTTCCCCATTTTCATCACGTTGGCTGATCTTTGATTGAATAAAGTCTACAACCTCCTGGCTGCTCATCACATTCCTGGGGTCAAAAAATGACAGACAGAATTCTTAGTCCCACCAAGGCAGAGCAAAGAGTCATGTAGGCAGCAGTACTGATGCAGGCCAATGTCAACACCTGAAAAAAAATGTTCCTCAGCTCTGCCTTAGGCTTCTGTGACTTTAATTCGCTGAGAAGCTGACCTTGAAGCTACTGCCCCCTACTGTAGCTCCAAGCCTTAAAGTAAGGTTGCAGAAGGGCATTTAAGGGTATTCACCAGTGCTCACCAGATGCCATCGCAAGCAATGACCATGAATTCATGGTCATCAGTGAGAGTCAGCACCTTGATGTCAGGAAGGGCAGAAATCATCTGTTCCTCAGGTGGCAAGTTTTTGTTCCTCTTGTAGAAATGGTCTCCTGAAAGGTAAGAATGGCCAGCAGTTTGAACGCTTCCCAGACATATATTAGAGGCAGGTCCATGACTTAGTGGAATAAAGAACTAAGTTCTAGCTTTTCTAGTTTCAGACCTGCTATCAGAACAAAGACCTCATCTGCCTTTTTTTTTTTTTTTAAACATCCAGGACAGTGAGAACTATAACTTCACTATTTCACAAAGATGTTTTCGATTATTCTGAACGGCACAGGGCTTAGAATGTTAGGTAATCTGGGACAGAGGGCGAGATCCCAAGATTTCCTTATAGCTTCTTAGTCCTTACCAATGGCCCTGGAGAGGTTGAGGCCTCCATTGACACGCCCATCCATCGTGACCTTGCCACCAGCATTCTTGATGCGTGCCAGCTCCACTTCATCTTCCGGTTTATGGTCATAAGACATATCTAAAGCTTTGCCAGCTTCCGACACCACACAGCGAGAGTCTCCTGCATTGGCCACAATCAACTGCTTCCCCCGTATCAGAGCCACCACTGCTGTTGTGCCGCTGTCAGAACCAGGCTTAAGAGGAAGAGAGGGAGCCTTGTAGGAGTGTCTAGGCACGAGCACTCCTCACCAATCATCTATACTAAAGAGCTGTCCAGAGACAGCATGTTTCCTTGCCATCTTAAAGGCAATTCTATCCAGATTTCCCTTGTAGTTCCCATTGTAGAATTAATACTCCTAAATTAAAGACTAAAATATTGCCAGGGGTGGTAGTGCAAGTCTTTAATCCCAGCACTCAGAAGGCAGAGGCAGGTGAATCTCTGGGAGTTCGAGGCCAGCCTGGTCTACAGAGTGAGTTTCAGGGCAGGCTCCAAAGTTTCATAGAAACACTATCTTGAAAAACAAAAACAAACAAACAAACAAACAAACAAAAACAAGACTAAAATAGCAAGGGGATATACTTCTTAAAATCAAATCAGGAGATTTATACTTGTTTCTTGTTCTTTCCAAAATCAACAGTTCCAGCCTCCACACACCTCTTCTTTGCCTTCCATTCCAGGTACCATCATCTCTTCTTCCTCCTCCTCTTCATCATCCTCTTCAGCCTCCTCAGTATCATCCTCATCTTCCTCGTTCTCTGCCTCCTCACTGCTGTAGCCATCCTCTTCCTCACTGCATTCCTACCAGGAAGATTCCAAGATACTGAGACTGGGATACTAAGATACCCCCCACTCTGCCCCTCCTCCTCAACCTAGACTCAAAATAGAAATCCTAACAACTGTCAAAAGATATAACCAATGTAGTCATGAAAATCTGGGGCAGCAGAGAGACTAGGATAAGCACGATAAATTGACATTTTGAACTGGGCACAGATGTCATCAGCAAAACAAGTCCTGGGGAAGATCAAAGCAGCCAGTCAGAATACCTTCCAGAGAATAAATTGTTGGGAAAAGGAGACACCTAAATATCCAAACTAATAAAAACTGCCTTCCTATTCTCTCTGAAAGGCCAGAAGTAAATCACTTTATTGCCAGCGAACTGGCTCTGGGTAAAGCCTAGTGACCTAGGTTCAGTCTTCAGAACTCGCATGGCAGAAGGAGAAAGCTAACCCTCTCAAGTTGTCCTCTAACTTCTAAGAGCATGCCTTGGCACGCAGGTACACACATGTACACAACAAAAAATTAAATAAATGTTCATTTTTAAATCTTAATTTATTCTTCTGAATTTTAAATCAACAAAAGAAAAGGGGGTTAAAGGTCCAAGACAATGCACTCAAAGGCAGCTTAGAATGCAGCGAGTCTTGGGAAATGAAGAGGGTAAATTAGATCCTGGGCTGGCAAGCCTGATAAGCTGATATTGAACCCCAGGACTTACATGAGAGAAGCAGAGAACTGACTCACACAAGTTATATATCCTCTGACCTCAACAGACAAGCATGGAAACACACATGCATGCAAAATATAGTACAAACTTGACAAAAGTTGAGGCTAGGGATGGCATTACACAGCCCTCACTGCAGCTTCACAGGCCCTTACCTCACTGTCATCCTCTTCCTCCTCCGCCTCATCTGATTCATCCTCACTGTCCTCAAAGAACTTGGACTTAGCAACTCGAGGCAGCTTGTCAGAGGCTGAAGAGCAGGAAGGTCCAGCCTCACCAGTAGCAGTACCAGGCTCACCAATTTGGCCTGCCTCAGTCTCATGTTCCGAGTTAGAGGAAAGGCCTGTGTGACCTTTGGCTGTGGGGCCATTTTCCTGGGAAGGAGTTTCCCTAGATGGGTCCTCAGGTCCAGCCTCCCCATTGAGGCCCTGAGGCCCTGGTTCGTCGCCTGTCCCAGTTCCAGATTTGGCGTGGGTAGGTCCCTTCTGACAGTTCTGCCCGTATCGTGTCAGCAACTCTTCAATAGTCATGGTAGCCTCTTCATGCAGCAGTGCAGCCTCCTCATTGTCCACTGCAGGGAAGAGGCTAAATCAGCACCCCCAGCCCAGACTCCTCACAGGCTATCAGTCCCTTTAACTAGTTCAACACCTCCTGTGACGTGACGCTACACTTCCCGATTACCTCCCACTTATGAGGCTCCACTCACTAATCAAGTCTCACTGTCTCCTCAATAGTTTCTTCTGGTCTTTCTTAGTCTGAGGAACACCAGTTTATTTCCCTATTGTACCTCTCATTTGTATTGTTAACTTGAAACCTTTACACTGAGGACCCAGATAGAGCCCATATATTAGTTTAGAAGGATTAAGTTGTAATATCTGGCTATCAAGGCTAATAACCGCCCCAGCCTTGAAAAAAAAAAAAGAACATATATAACATAGGTGTATATATAACATATATATATATATATAGGAAGCAGGAAAACCACATCAAAATAACAAAACACGATATATGCAAAAATGCTTAGAGCTATGCACTAGACAAAGATTCTCTTTGCTACAGAAACATATAATATAGAATACCATATAGGTTTTTTTTTTTTTTCGGTTTTTCGAGACAGGTTTTGGAGCCTGTCCTGGAACTAGCTCTTGTAGACCAGGCTGGTCTTGAACTCAGAACTCACAGAGATCCGCCTGCCTCTGCCTCACGAGTGCTGGGATTAAAGGCGTGCACCGCCACCACCCGGCCACATAGAGTTCTTTTTTTTAAAATATTTATTTATTTATTTATTTATTTATTTATTTATTTATTTATTTATTATGTATACAATATTTTGTCTGTGTGTATGTCTGCAGGCCAGAAGAGGGCACCAAACCTCATTATAGATGGTTGTGAGCCACCATGTGGTTGCCGGGAATTGAACTCAGGACCTTTGGAAGAACAGGCAATGCTCTTAACAACTGAGCCATCTCTCCAGCCCCACATAGAGTTCTTAATGTGAAAATTCCCCTGGTCCTTAGGAAGACATCCTTTATCAGAACGGATAATAAGCTGTTTATTTCTTTCTAACAGGATGCCACACTCACCATCATCTTCATCTGCTACTTTTTCTTTATCATCCTCGTCTTCTGTGGGTCTCCCTGCAATCTGTGCCAGTTCCTTAATGACTTCCTCTGTGGTCAATTTGGCATCAATAGCCAAGAAGGCATCTTCTAAAGCCTGAATTTAAGTAAGGTAGTGTAAGACAAAAGTAGTGGGTACAAATGAACTGCCTAATATACACATTCACAAGCACACAGTTGGGATGCAAATTCAGGAGTGATCAATCCCACTAAGATACACACAAATAGAGAAAATGGTTTAGAGACCCGAGGATAAGGTAATTCTGAAAATATCCAACTGGGAAGAAGCTTGTTTTGAACATAGGACTCTGAGGAAAAAATGCAATAGACAATCAATAGCTAGAGAGCAAAGAGAAGCCAAAGGTTAGAAAAAGAGAGAGAACCCTCCAAGAATTAAGGTGGAAAATTAACAGTGTAGAAAGACAGACCTTCTGTAGCTTGCCTTCCTTGTAGGCCTTCTGATCTTTGATAATATCAGGAAGATATTTGGCACAGTACAAGGCAACTTCCTCACCTAAAAGAAAGGTTTTATTAACAAAACAACGCTGCCCACATGCAAGGACACAGGTGATAAACACCTTAACATACCTGAGACCTAGCTGTAGAACAATGAGAAAGTCTGACCCGGACAACAGATTTCAATATCATTTCTCTGAGGAGTATATTAACATATCCCTTGAGTTTTCCTTACCTATTATATTTAGTTCAATCCTGGAAAGTAAAAGAACAAAAGCGTCCCTTCTCTTGCCCGTTAAAGTCTAGGATTACCAATAAGATCTGCGAAAGTTACCTCCATGTCCATCATAGACAGAAAACATGGCTGTCTCGTTGTCCAGTTCAGGAATACAGTTGTGAGCATCCTAGAAGAAGAAAGAACATAATCAGCATGTCTCAAGTTTAAAGCTATTTCTCCTATATTTCAGGCCACAGGGTGCTTTCCTATCTTCACAGCACAATCCTTCTCTGGCTGGGCAAACATAGACTAGAAATGAGAAAGGAAGATAGGTTGATAAATGAAGGCAAAGAAGGGGACAAAAGGAATAAGAAAAGCAGATTCGCCAGACGGTGGTGCACGCCTTTAATCCCAGCACTTGGGAGGCAGAGGAAGGTGGATCTTGCTGAGTTCAAAGCCAGCCTGGTCTACAAGAGCTAGTTCCAGGAGAGGCTTCAAAGCCACAGAGAAACCCTGTCTTGAAAAACAAAACAAAACAAACACAAAAGCAAAAAACAAACAAAGAAAAGCATACTCAGATCATCACCTCTGTAATATAGCATTTTCTCTAGATCTTGATCCAGAGAAGAATATTTGGTTACTGGATGTTTAGTAAATGTAGACCTGACCCTTCCAAGCTATAGAATCGGAATACAGGCTCTTTACAGTTACTTCGGGTACATGTGATGGCTCAGAGAGTAACATGCTTGCTGCCAAGCCTATATACTTAAATTTGAGCACCAGGACCTACAGGCATGGTAGAAGGAAAATAACCAACTCCCAGAAGTTGTCTTCTGACCACACATGCTATCACAGCTTGGGCATACCCTCCCTCCAAACTAAACAATACAGGAGATTTAAACAATAAAGTTACAGCCTCCTATACACAAATTATAGACAGGCCAAGAGAAAAGAGAAAAAAAACAGAGGAACATTACCCTTCCCAGTAGCCACAAATATAAATATCTTGGGGTAACTCTAACCAAACAAGTAAAAGACCTGTATGACAAAAACTTTAAGTCTCTTAAGAAAGAAACTGAAGAAGACATCAGAAAATAGAAAGATCTCCTATGTTCTTAGACAGGAAGGGTCAACGTAACAAAAATGGCAATCTTACCAAACGCAATCTACAGATTCAATGCAATCCCCATCAAAATCCCAACATAATTCTTCACAGACCTTAAAAAAACATTACTCAATGTCACATGGAAAAAAAAAACCATAATAGCTAAAGCAATCCTGTACAATAAAGGAATTATCTGGAGGCATCACCATTCCTGACCTCAAGCTCTACTATAGAGCTATAGTAATAAAAACAGCTTGGTATTGGTACAAAAACATACAGGTGAACAATGCAATTGAAGTGAAGTCCCTGACATTAATACATGCACATATGAACAACTGGTTTTTGACAAAGTCAAAATGATAAAATGGAAAAAGGAAAACATCTTTAACAAATGGTGCTGGCATTTGACTGGATGTTAACGTGTAGAAGATTGCAAATAGATCCATATCTATTGCTTTGCAGAAAACTCAAGCCCAAGTGGCTCAAGGACCTCAACATAAAGCATATTTAACAAGTGGTGCTGGCATAACTGGATATCAACATGTAGAAAAATTAATAGACCCATATCTATCACCATGCACAAAACTCAAGTCCAAATGGATGAAAGACCTCAACATAAAATCAGCCACACTTTCTAAATATAGCCCCAATAGCACAGACACTGAGAGAAACTATTAATAAATGGGACCTCCTGAAACTGAGAAGCTTCTGTAAAGCAAAGGACACAGTTAACAAAATAAAATGGCAGCCTACAGAACGGGAAAAGATCTTCACCAACCCCACATCAGATAGAGGGCTAATCTCCAAAATATACAAAGAATTCAAGAAATTGGTCATCAAAAGAACAAATAATCCAATAAAAAAGGGGGTACAGACCTAAACAGAGAACTCTCAACAGAGGAATCTAAAATGGCTGAAAGACACTTAAGGAAATGTTCAACATCCTTAGTCATCAGAGAAATGCAAATCAAAACAACTCTGAGATTCCATCTTACAAATGTAAGAATGGCTAAGATCAAAAACACTGATGAAAACTTATGCTGGAGAGGTTGTGGGGAAAAGGGAACACTTCTGCACTGCTGGTGGGAATGCAAGCTGGCACAACCCCTTTGGATGTCAGTGTGGTGATTTCTCAGAAAATTAGGAGACAGCCTTCCTCAAGACCCAGCAATACCACTTTTGGCTATATACCCAAAGGTATATACTAAAGCTTCCTTACAGATACTCTCTTCAAACAGAAGGGATAAATGCTAATAAGCACTGTTAGTGGTTACTTACCTTGCGTGAGTTAATTTTTTTTGGGGGGAAGGGGGCTCGAGACAGTGTCTCTGTGTAGCCCTGGCTGTCCTGGAACTCACTCTATAGACCAGGCTCTCCTCAAACTCAGACATCCACCTGCCTCTGCCTCACGAGTACTGGGATTAAAGGTGTGCGTCACCACCGCCTGTCAGGTGAGTTAATTTCAATCATATTTCTCCTTCCTCTTTCAGACATCAGCATTTTAAAATTTTATCAATACTGAAAAATCTGAACGTAGTAATTCTTTTATTGGAGCTGAACTAAGACTATGGCATAGTTTTTGGCTAAGAAAATAAAACATAAGGTAGGGAAGAAAGACATCGAAAAAGGAATTTCCCCCTTTCATGTCACCAATACAAAGGTCCTAGAAACAAATAGCATTATCTATGGTCATCATCAACTGCAGTGCCTTTTTTGTCTCATCTCCAGGACTTAGTTAAGTTCCACAGAGCAAAAGTCACATTCTCCCTCTTCCACGACTCCCCTATGGGTCACAATAGCTAGTCTTCCTAAGCCAGTGTTTATCTTCCTAGACTTTCCTACTCTCTTCTTATCATGTAAGAGCATTCTCATTTGTATTTAGGATACCTATTGCTCTGCATCATCTCAAACATCAATGTTCCTAAGAATGCAGTTACTAATCAAATATTTGAGAATCTATTATGTGCCAGAATGTGTTCCATGTTTGGGCTAAATCAACAAACAAAAGGAGACAAGGTCAAGTGATTCATGAAAAATTTTCCAGTGAGATATATACATAACATATAGGAAGCGCTAATAGGCAAGCTGGCCTGTATTGTAACCCAGCACTTGAGGAGGCTAAAGTAAGAGAACTGCAGTAAGTTCAAGAACCATCTGGGCTTCGATCTCAGGTCATGATGGCGGGCAGACCTGCTGCGGCAGCATCAAGCAAGTGGCCGGATGGTTTTCAAAAATGGCAATTTTTTAAAAATATTTATTTATTTATTTATTTATTAAGTATACAGTATTCTGTGTGCGTGTATGCCTGCAGGCCAGAAGAGGGCACCAGACCTCATTACAAATGGTTGTGAGCCACCATGTGGTTGTTGGGAATTGAACTCAGGACCTTTGGAAGAGCAGGCAGTGCTCTTAACCTCTGAGCCATCTCTCCAGCCACAAAAATGGTATTATAATGCTGCTGGATTCAACAAACTGGGTTTAATGCGAGATGATACACTACATGAGACTGCAGATGTGAAAGAAGCCATAAGAAGGCTTCCTGAGCATCTTTATAATGACAGAATGTTTCGAATTAAGAGAGCCCTGGACCTGAGCATGCAGCATCAGATCTTGCCTAAGGAGCAGTGGACAAAATATGAGGAGGACAAATTCTACCTTAAACCCTACCTGAAAGAAGTTATTTGGGAAAGAAAAGAGAAAGAAGAATGGGCAAAGAAGTGATCTTGTGGTTGAGATCTGTGGATGTGCCTGGTGTCAGCATATTTTTAAGTTGTTTCAACCTGAATCACAATTTAAGAATTATTTGTTCTGCAGATGCCTCACTTTAAATAAATGTGTATTGAAGCCATTCTTGGAATTTTCTAATTAAAAAAAAAAAAAAAAGAACCTTCTGGACTAGAGTAGACCCTGTCCCACATACTCAACATCCTAATGGAGAACTAGCTTGAATTACAGAAAAGCAGTAGAACTGAACTAACATTGGATAAATACAGAGTAAGTGTATGCATGCTAACCCTAAGAGCTTCTGCCTCAGCAGTTACCACTAATTCCTGAGGACCATCCAATTCTGACATGTACAATTGTATCATTTTAATATTGGTTTTATAATCCTGCTAATTTTGTAGTTTTGTGTGTTAACATAAAAATTTGTTTTGTTCGTTTTTGAGACAGTGTTTCTCTGTGTAGCCCTGGCTGTCCTAGAACTCCCTCTGTGGACCAGGCTGGCCTCTAACTCACAGATCCGCCTGCCTCTGCTTCCCAGGTGCTGGGATAAAGCCATGTCCCACCCTATCTGTTCACATTTAAGTAACATTAAAATCAGTTTAATGACCACTGGAGTCCAGTTTAAACACTAAAGCAGAAATATTCTTTCGTACAAAATTAGAATTAGAAAGTAGTAATATCCAGTGGCAGTAAGAGTAAAGCAGAAACACCTTCTTATAGCCCAAACAACCAGGTTGTAAATTAAGTTTATTGGAGAACAACTTGCTAACATGTATCAAAGTTTCTAAGGTTAGGGCTGGAGAGATCCTGAGTTAAAATGCACTTGCTACTCTTACACAGTACTGGGGTTCATTTCCCAGTACCCTGCTGAGACTCACAATTACCCGTGATTCCAACCCCAAGGGATCCAATGCCTATTTTTGGCCTCCATAGGTACTTGCACATACATGGCATAAACTCATACAGACATAGAAATATACACATACATAGAAATCTTTAAAACTTTTCTAAAGTGATCTAGAAATTTGACAATTGTTTTATGAAAATAATTAGACGAGGATGCAGGAAGTATATGCATGAGAATATTTAAATTTAAATGCTGAACATGGCAGTATATGCCTATAATCCTAGCACTTGGGAGGCTAAAGTGAGAGACTTGCCATGATTTTAAGGTCAGCTAGGGACACACAGCAAGAAGTTCACAAGAGAAAGCAAAACAACTTATTATAGCATTGTTGAATAACAAAAGCAATTTTAAACTGGGTTTGTTACAGATTCAACGCAATGCCCAGCAAAATTCTTCAAAGATCTTGAAAGAACGGTACTTAACTTCATATGGAAAAGCAAAAAAACCAGGATAGCCAAAACAATCCTGTGCAATAACAAAAAACTTCTGGAGGCATCACAATCCCTGACTTCAAACTCTACTACAGAGCTACAATACTGAAAACAGCCTGGTATTGGCATAAGAACAGACAGGAGGACCAATGGAACCAAATAGAAGACCCGGGTATCAATCCACACATTTTCGAACACCTGCTCTTTGATAAAGAAGCAAAAAATATCAAATGGAAAAAAAAGCATATTTAACAAGTGATGCTGGCATAACTGGATATCAACATATAGAAGAATGAAAATAGACCCATATCTATCACAAACTCAAGTCCAAATGGATCAAAGACCTCAACATAAAGCCAGCCACAATGAACCTTATAGAAGACAAAGTGGGAAGTACACCTGAACACATTAGCACAGGGAACCACTTCCTAAATAGGACCCCAGCAGCACAGACACCGAGAAACAATTAATGAATGGGACTTCCTGAGACTGAAAAGCTTATGTAAAGCAAAGGACATGGTCAACAAGACAAAACGACGACCTACAGAATGAGAAAAGATCTTCACTAACCCCACATCAGACAGGTCTGATCTCCAAATTATAATCCAATAAAAAATGGAGTACAGACCTAAACAGAGAACTCTCAACAGAGGAATCTAAAATGGCTGAAAGACACTTAAGGAAATGTTTAACATCCTTAGTCATTAGAGAAATGCAAATCAAAACAACTCTGAGATTCCATCTTACACCTGTAAGAATGGCCAAGATCAAAAACACTGATGACAACTTATGTTGGAGAGGTTGTGGGGAAAAGGGAACACTTCTGCACTGCTGGTGGGAATGCAAGCTGGCACAACCCCTTTGGATGTCAGTGTGGTAATTTCTCAGAAAATTAGGAAACAACCTTCTTCAAGATCCAGTAATACCACTTTTGGGTATATATCCAAAGGATGCTCAATCATGCCACAAGGACATGTGCTCAACCATGTTCATAGCAGCATTGTTTGTCATAGCCAGAACCTGAAAACAACCTAAATGCCCCTCAATCAAAGAATGGATAAGAAAAATGTGGTACATTTACACAATGGAGTACTACACAGCAGAAAAAAGTAATGAACGACATCTTGAATTTTGCAGGAAAATGGATGGAGCTAGAACGCATTATTTTGAGTGAGGTAACCCAGGCACAGAAAGACAATTATCACATGTACTCACTCATAGGTGGTTTTTAAACATAAAGCAAAGAAAGCCAGCCTACAAATCACAATCCCAGAGAACTTAGACAACAATGAGGACACTAAAAGAGACTTACATAGATCTAATCT